TCAATTGGCAGGGAAATACGAAGTCTTCTGGTAACGGTATGGCCGCTGCCTGAGAGGCGGAGGAGAAGAGCCAAGACGGATGGGGGAAAAGACAGTCTCTCCTATCTCCTTGCTCGGGGCTGGGTTTCCCGGCGCCTGCAGCCTCCTGCCCCACACCAGCCCCCCAGAGAGACCGCGGTGGGTCGGGGAGGTGGCCTGACCCCACAGAACCCCCGTGCTGAGGTATCTCCCCGGAGTTGGCAAGCACGGACAAGCACGGAGTTGGCACCCCGTCTCGCTGGGGTTTCTCCCCCCCGACCCCTGCCAGCACCAACCAGCACACCTCCAGTTCACCCAGTAGCCAATATGACTTATTAATAGGTGTTTTCAAGGCCGTTTATTCGGTGGACTGTGGGTTCCCGGGGCTTGAGCGTGGTGCCATGGTCCATCCAGGCCATGAGCATCCAGGGATGCTCGGCGCAGCTCTGCTAACCGAATCTCTTCAATACTGAAAAACGAAAGATGTTGGAAGTGTGTTCCCAGGACAGCGAGCTTTCCGGAAGAATCGAAGAAGAAAAGGTGTTTGGAACTTGTAGGCAGGCTCCCAAAAATGGCAACAAAGTGATAATTTTTTCATCATGTCATATTACAGAATGGCGTGTTTTTTTTCCCAGATCGTTATTCATCATCTCTTCAAACCTCCCAGCATGAGTCAGAGTGATTTTCTAAATTCAGGCCCTCTTTTAAGAATATTAACATCTTTAAATCTATCATATATTTTCTGCCAAATCGGAAAGTCACTTGTCCGCATCTGCGGTTTGCTCTCTTTTGCCTTTTCGTAGACAGCATATTACAGTTTTTACCAGTGCCATAAATTTAACCCATTTTACTTTCACTATTCTGGATCAAGTTATTGGGTTGTTTTCTTTATCAGCACTTAATCGTGATAATTTATGTCTCTGTTTAAGTGGGGTTATCGGTGCAATTCCTTCTTTGTAAAATTCTCTGGCAAATGTTTATGGACAGATTATTAATGTGATTAAATAACGCACTTCTTGCTTTTTTAAACATTTCTTTGTGGAAGAGTGACGGGAAGATGGGGGCCAGTTAGAATATTGCTCATCCAGTTAATCGTCTCCTACGCTCTCTTTATTGCCTCTTGAAACCGCTGTGGTCCTGATAATACAGAGGGAAACAAATCTGGAGACTTTTGCGCATTTTAAGATGAGAGGAATTTCCATCCATGCTCTTAGCTAATGTCGTGATAGCATGAGAACCCCGCTGTGATGAAAATCCGAAAATAATGAATATTTATGTTGGAAGAGTGACACTTCTTCGGGAAATACACAATTTTTTCAAAAGCTACCTTAGATCTCCTCAAATTCTTCCTGCGACTGAGCCTGTCACAGCAAAATGAGTTAATTTGCTTCAGCCCAGTGGCTTTCGCTGTGCGAAAATTCAGCTGTAAAACCAACAGCAGAATAAATCAAGTCTCTGTCTTTAGCGAGGAAGAGTTACGCCCAGTTACATGACACTTCGTAAGCTGGCATTTATTTTGGCGATTTTTCCCGTCCCTTCATGCCCACCGGCCTCCGTCCGCCCTCCCCTGCTCCTCCCGATGCTTTGCTTTCCTTCCCCACTGCGCTGGCGCCCCGGAGAGCCGCGCTGCCTCGTGCCAAACCCTTCCGTCCGCGTCTTTACGCAACCGCCAAGAAATTTCAAGAAAAAAAGCCCGGGAGGCCCCTGACCCGATGGCAGTGCCACCGTGTCCTGGCGCGTCCCCCGTTGCCGCTGGCAGGTGAGAGGGGAAGGCAGCGCTCTGCCTGCGCGTGGGCATCCCCAGCCGCCGCCGGAGGGGTTCTGCGAGTTCGTCGAAGTGCCGGCCATCCCGGTTTTGGTTATTCCCGCCGTGGGTTCCCATTGAGCCCCGTCGGCGTGGCGGGCAGCCCTGGCACGGGGACGGCGTCAGCTCGGGAGACTCCGAGCCCGCAGCTTAACGGTTCGGTTTGACAACAAGCACCGAAGCGAAGCAAACTCATAAATTAGGGAAGAAGTCAGCAAGAGGTGTAAAATCCATACTTATTTTCTTTACGGTGCGTACGGGGAGCTGTTAGACCTTTGTAACCCGTGCGCTGCAGGTGCTGCAGAAAGCTGAGGTGCAAAGCCAAATTTCCGCCGGTGGGAAGGCGGCCCTTTCCGGGCGTCGTTTTGGTCGAGTTGCAGTCACGGCTGAAAGCGGTTGGGCTGGATCGCTGCAGGAATATCGGGAAAAAACAGGCATTAGGTTGAGGTGAATGTATACCGTGAGCGGGAGGGCTGGGCTGGAGGTGGACGAGTGGGGACCGTCCCTGTCCTGGGCCGGGGATGGGGGGAGAGGTGCTGGTCACCTCTGAAACAGCAGGGGTGGTGACAGGGGACACGGGAGGGGGTTCTTCATCTCTTCCCAGGCCAGGGAAACCCATTCATTGTCCCCAGGTAGCCGCTCTTACCGCACGGTGATTGGGACGCACTGGAATCATTGCGTCACCCATGAGGTCATCTGGTAGGTGTTCACCTGTCCCTTGGGAAATCTCCCCGGCCGTCAGGGTGCTTTGTGGGATATCTCTCCAGTGAGCTGTGACCGCGGCCGACCTTCTCACTGCACAAATCTGGACTGGTTTTCCTCTGAAATGCGCATCAGACTTTTCTGCCGTCCTGGTAACCTGGAGCGCGGCCAGTAGGGGACAACTGGGGTCTGCTTGGGAGCAAGACGTGGTCACATCTGGGTAGAGGGGCGATCGCTCGCACCAGTCGGTGGCACGGGCACGCCGTGTCTGACGTTGCGGATGGTTTTGACCTGGGGCCGGGGAGAAAGTCCCTCTTGACCCTCAGCCCCTCGGCACTTGCAAAGAGAAGTGCTGTGACGCAGCTGAGGGAGGGGAGGTCGGCGACACAGGCCAGAGCCTTTTTGAAAATCCTGAGAGCTGGGATGAAGGAGAGCTGTGGAGGCATCAGTCAGCCCGAGGCCCTGCTCTCTGCTCGGTGGGAGGGTGAGGGGACTTCCCCTCCCAAACACTCCTTCCCAACCCTGTCCTCCCCACTGCTGCTCCTGCACCCGCTGCAAAAATGGGGCTCTAAGACGCTGCAGTCGCTCGATCATCTTTGTAGCCCTTTGCTGGACCCCCTCCAGCAGTTCCCTGTCCTTCTTGACCCGGGGAGC